CCGGAATTTTTGGAAATTAAAAGCCTTCCGCGTAGTATTACATTCAAACAGGACAAATATCATTACCTTGCACAATAACGGAGTATTGGGAGATTTGAGAATTTGTTTGGAAATTATGAAATGAGTTTCCAAATACTTCTCATCATTCAACATGATTTATACTAGATCATTGAATTTTCACCTTTGTTCAGATTGTGAACGTGAGAGGTGAGTTTAAAATGAATGCAACTGTTATGAAGTGCATAGTGCAATTAACAAATTTTGCACTCAATTTTCTTTCCTATTCAAACAAATCTCGACGCATACACTTCACTGTTGAAACATAGTCTTACTTTTTTAGTAAACAAGAGGTCGGTTTATGTGTTGGGAAGTAAATAACAATGAAGAGGTAAGTAAATATCAAGTTAAATCAATTTCAGGTGTCCTAAATTGCACACCTTCTCAACGAAATAAACTAGATGTATCTATTTGGCCTTTCAGATGTGTCGAATTGTACGCTAAATGGGTGTATTTTATTTTGGTCTTTCAATCAGTGAGTTACTGTAATGACTGTCGAGAACACATCCTCTGGGCTCATTACTAACCATAATTAACCGTGTCAGTGGCAAATTGCAATTGGGAAACCTCCAACTCCTCTCGCTTTTCCCAAAGTCATTTAGGCACTCATATCAAGTTAGACATGTCGTGGAGAATCTTATTGTACCCAGCTTTCGAATATTAAAATTTAGTGGGTAAAAAGAGACTTCAAATTGATAGAAGAAAGTCGATCGACCGAAACGGAAGAAATCACTCAGTGACAAAATTTTACTCGAAAAAAGCGTCACTTTGTGCCTGAACTCTTATAGACCTTGATGAATAAAAAAAAATGAGAATGAGGTTGCTTCCATTTTAAGAGCAAATAACAGTTTTTTCTTCAACTATTTCGAGTTATTTATGAGTACGTTATTTTGACTTCGAAAAGCGTCTGACTACATCGGCTAGAATAGTTAATCATCATAACTGTTTTTCGATGATGAGAACTAACCTTTTATTTTGTGTAATTGAACCGAAGAAAGGCGGAAGCATATTGTTATTGTTAGGGAGAGGCAAACAAATCCAGCCATAGAGATTATTCCTGGAGTTGGAGTTCAATTCCCAAACGTCCTTACCGCGTAAGCAAAAATGTATCCTTTGTAAGAGAACAGCACGACTTTTTATAAGTTGTTCATTTCAACTTTTCAAGCTATGTTCCATTTTCTTGTGAGAAATCGCGGTGCATTACAAGCTTAAAATAGTTTAAAATTTTCACAACATCAACTTTTCATGCAACGTGACCACAGCACCGAGCCAAAGCACACACATACATACACAAAGAGTTGGCTAAAAAACCCCGGGGTTGTATTGTATGTGTATGCACATAAGGTGGACCCTTTCATGTTTAGAGAACTGCACCTAATCCCCTCTCTTCGTGTGTCCTTTTTCAATCTACCCTCCGAATTTACATCCTGTGTTTGAATTACACGCGTGCGTGCTCGTATGTGTGTGTTTGTTTAAAAACCTCTATTGCAAACATGTGCTTGCCTGCGCTGCTTCAGAAAGTGCACGCGTTGAATGGTGGTGGCCTCCAGCGACAACAACTTCCCTGTATTCTTCCTTGTTCGTGCATGTGTGCAGGAGGGAGAAGTAGAAGAAGGCGGAGGAGGAGGTGGAGGAAGCGGTTGTTGATGCACCTTCTGCATAAATCTGAAGATTTTTACTATTCACAGCCTTATCATTTGTACAAATATGCACATATTTTGCTTTACAGACACAGCAAAGCTCCTATTCCCAGTGTTGTTTTCACCATTTGCTGATCCGCCGTTCCCGACACCATTGTACACTGATTGGTGGTGATTGACCAATAATTTGCTTCTGCCAATGAAAGATCGATTGCAGTGAATCGATCGGTAACAAAGCACCTAACGCTAATTGGTTCAGGTCGATAGTATCATTATTCAGCTTTATTTTTTAATTCGTCACTTAAATACCATTGGTTGGTTCTGTTCTTTAATCTGATCAACTGACAATTCATAGTTCAACAATTCGTTATTTCAAATCGCATAATTCTTGTTGAACCCTTTCCACCCACTAGGTAGTTAATTTATTTGTAGGCTTGTCAACTGGTCGATTGATTATATTTTTAAAAAACACGTCCTGCCGAGATTGGAGCTACCCCCATTGAACCTTACCATCAGTCAACGTGACTTTGTCACAACTTCAAAGACTCCAGTAAAACATTTTAATTGTGTAGTGCCGCTAAATTAATGGCAGTCACCGTGCACGTACTCAATGCATAAATCACGAAGGTTTGTCTAAATGTCATGTTGTAAATTACAAATGAGCATTTGCCTTGGTGTTCGGACCGCCAATCAGGACCTTGTGTTGGTGTTGAGATTGCCGCCTTACTCTCCC